GTGATCCACCCGCCTCGGCCTCCCAAAGTGCTGGGATTACAGGCTTGAGCCACCGCGCCCGGCGAACCTAACAGACATTCTTACTGTTACTCTAAAATTGACCACATAATTGGAAGTAAATCACTTCTCAGCAAATGCAAAAGAATGGAAGTCATAACAAACAGTATCTCAGACCACAGTACAATCAAATTAGAACTCAGGATTAATAAACTCAGTCAAAACTGCACAACTACATGGAAACTGAACAACCTGCTCCTGAATGACTACTGGATAAAAAATGAAATGAAGGCAGAAATAAGTATGTTCTTCAAAACCAATGAGAAAAAAAACCACAGCGTACCAGAATCTCTGGGACACATTTAAAGTAGTGTCTAGAGGGAAATTTATAGCACTAAGTGACCACATGAGAAGTGAGGAAAGATCTAAAATCAACACCCTAACATCATGATTAAAAGAACTAGAGCCGGGCGCGGTGTCTCAAGCCTGTAATCCCAGCACTTTGGGAGGCCGAGGAGGGTGGATCACTAGGTCGAGAGATCGAGACCATCCTGGTCAACATGGTGAAACCCCATCTCTACTAAAGATACAAAAAATTAGCTGGGCATGGTGGCACGTGCCTGTAATCCCAGCTACTCAGGAGGCTGAGGCGGGAGAATTGCTTGAACCCAGGAGGCGGAGGTTGCGGTGAGCCGAGATCGCGCCATTGCACTCCAGCCTGGGTAACAAGAGCGAAACTCCATCTCAAAAAAAAAATAAAAAAATAAAAAAAATTTAAAAAAAAGAACTAGAGAAGCAAGATCAAACAAATTCAAAAACCAGCAGGAGACAAGAAATAATTAAGGAGCACAGCTGAACTGAAGCAGACAGACAGAAAAAACCGTTTAAAAAAAAATCTAGGAGCTGGGTTTTTGAAAAGATCAACAAAATAGACTACTAGCCAGACTAAAAAAGAGAGAAGAATCGAATGGAATAAAAAATGATAAAGGGGATATGACCACCGATCCCACAGAAATACAAATTACCATCAGAGATTACTACAAACACCTCTATGCACATAAACCAGTAAGTCTAGAAGAAATGAATAAATTCCGGGACACTTACACCCTCCCAAGAATAACCAGGAAGAAGCTGAATCTCTGAATAGACCAGTAACAAGGTCTGAAATTGAGGCAACAATTAATAGTCTACCAAAGTCAAGGGCCAGGTAGGTTCACAGCTGAAATCTACCAGAGGTACAAAGAGGAGCTGGTACCATTCCTCCTGAAACTATTCCAAACAATACAAAAAAAGAGGCAATCCTCCCTAACTCATTTTATGAAACCAACATTATCCTGATACCAAAACCTGGCAGAGACACAACTAAATAAATTTCAGGCCAATATGCATGATGAACATTGATTTGAAAATCCTCAATAAAACACTGGCAAACCGAATCCAACAGCACATCAAAAAGCTTACCCATCACAATCAAGCCAGCTTCATCCCTACCTGAGATGAAAGGCTGGTTCAACATACGCAAATCTATAAATGTAATCCATCACATAAACAGAACTAAAGACAAAAACAACATGATTATCTCAATAGACACAGAGAAGGCCTTTGACAAAATTCAACAGCCCTTTATGCTGAAAACTGTCAATAAACTAGGTATTGATGGAATGTATCTTAAAATAATAAGAGCAATTTATGACAAACACACAGCTAATATCATACTGAATGGGCAAAAACTGAAGCATTCTCTTTGAAAACTGGCAGGAGACAAGGATTGTCCTCTCTCACCACTCCTATTCAACATAGCATTGGAAGTTCTGGCCAGGGCAATCAGGCAAGAAACAGAAATAAAGGGTATTCAGTTAGGAAAAGAGGAAGTCAAATTGTCTCTATTTGCAGACATGTTTATATATTTAGAAGAGCCCATCGTCTCAGCCCAGAATCTCCTTAAGATTATAAGCAACTTCAGCAAAGTCTCAGGATACAAAATCAATGTGCAGAAATTACAAGCATTCCTATACACCAATAACAGAGCCAAATCATGAGTGAACTCCCATTCACAATTGCTACAAAGAGAATAAAATACCTAGGAAAACAACTAACAAGAGATGTGAAGGACCTCTTCAAGGAGAACTACAAACGACTGCTCAAGGAAGAGGACATAAACAGATGGAAAACATTCCATGCTCATGGTTAGAAAGAATCATTGACTTTCTTCACAGAATTGGAAAAAAACCACCTTAAACTTCATACAGAACCAAAAAAGAGCCCACATAGCCAAGACAATCCTAAGCAAAAAAAAGCTGAAGGCATCATGCTACCTGACTTCAAACTATACTACAAGGCTACAGTAATCAAAACAGCATGGTACTGTTACCAAAACAGAGCTATAGACCAATGGAACAGAACAGAGGCCTCAGAAGTAATGCCACACATCTATAACCATCTGATCTTGGACAAACTTGACAAAACAAGCAACGGGGAAAGGATTCTCTATTTAGTAAATGGTGTTGGGAAAACTGGCTAGCCATATGCAGAAAGCTGGAACTGGATCCCTTTTTTACACACTCTACAAAAATTAACTCCAGATGGATTAAAGATTTAAAACCTAAGACATAACACCATAAAAATCCTACAAGAAAACCTAGGCAATACCATTCAGGACACAGGCATAGATAAGGACTTCAAAAACAATGGCAACGAAAGCCAAAATAGACAAATAGGACCTAATTAAGAGCTTCTGCACAGCAAAAAAAACTACCATTAGAGTGAACTGGCAACCAACAGCATGGGGAAAAAATGTTTGCAATCTACCCATCTGACAAAGGACTAATTTCCAGAATCTACAAATAACTTAATAAAATTTACAAGAAAAAAAAATGCCATCAAAAAGTGGGTGAAAGATATAAACACACTTTTCAAAAGAATACATTTATGTAGCCAACACACATGAAAAAAAGCTCATCACCGCCAGTCATTAGAGAAATGCAAATTAAAACCACATATAGATACCATCTCACAGCAGTTAAAATGGTGATCATTAAAAAATCAGGAGACAACACTTGCTGGAGAGGATGTGGAGAAATAGGAACGCTTTTACACTGTTGGTGGGAGTGTAAATTAGTTCAACCATTGTGGAAGACAGTGTGGCGATTCCTCAAGGATCTAGAAATAGAAATACCATTTGACCCAGCAATCCCATTACTGGGTATATACCCAAAGGATTATAAATCATTCTGTTATAAAGACACATGCACACATATGTTTACTGCAGCACTGTTCACAACAGCAAAGATTTGGAACCAACCCAAATGCCCATCAATGATAGACTGGATAAAGAAAATGTGGCACATATACACGATGGAATACTATGCAGCCATTAAAAAGGATGAGTTCCTGTCCTTTGCAGTGACATAGATGAAGCTTGAAACCATCATTCTCAGCAAACTGACACAAGAACAGAAAACCAAACACCACATGTTCTCACTCATAAGTAGGTGTTGAACAACAATGAGAATACATGGACACAGGGAGGGGAACATCACACATTGGGGTCTGTTAGGGGGTTGGGGGCCTAGGGTAGGGATAGCAGGGGTGGGGGTTTGAGGAGGGCTAACATTAAGAGAAATACGTAACGTGGATGACAGGGGGATGGATGCAGCAAAGCACCATGGCACATGTATACCTATGTAACAAACTTGCACATTCTGCACATGTACCCCAGAACATAATAAAAAAATTCATCCATGTAACCCAAAAGCACTTGTACCCCCAAAAGCTATTGAAATAAAAATAACCGTTCAGTCCTCAGAAAACATCATTAGGAACACACCAAGCTCCATGGTCTGTATCAACATATAGACATCAATAAGGAGTTCTACAATCTCTTTCATCCAAAAGCAACTTTCTATGGATAGGCTTCAGGGGATCCGTATCTCAAGTATTCTCAAAGAGGTCTATAAACCAAGAATTGCTGATGTAGATCACCTGGCAGTCTTTTTTTTTTTTTTTTTTAACCCCTAAAGGTTTTGGTTAATATACTAAATAGCATAGAAGAGTTTTCTTTACAACTCTGCTACAAACCTTAACCATTTGTCCAAATTGGAACAGGTAGTTTTTTGCTTAGCTCCTAGAAATGATTTTAGCAAAGTAAGACTTGGCCAGATATAGACTCAGAAATCCTCAGTGTTACTTATATAATAATAAACTATATCAAAAATATCCTATAACATGAAATATGTGACTAATGAATTTTTCATGGAAGTTGTGAAATGTATCATGCTATTTGAAGTAGACAAAAGTATATTACAAAGTAGCATATAAGCTATAAAACTATAATTTCAGGCCGGGCGCGGTGGCTCAAGCCTGTAATCCCAGCACTTTGGGAGGCCGAGGTGGGTGGATCACGAGGTCAAGAGATCGAGACCATCCTGGTCAACCTGGTGAAACCCCGTCTCTACTAAAAATACAAAAAATTAGCTGGGCATGGTGGCGTGTGCCTGTAATCCCAGCTACTCAGGAGGCTGAGGCAGGAGAATTGCCTGAACCCAGGAGGCAGAGGTTGCGGTGAGCCGAGATCACGCCATTGCACTCCAGCCTGGGTAACAAGAGTGAAACTCCATCTCAAAAAACAAAAACAAACAGACAAAAAAACTATAATTTCAATTTGATAAACATACAGAGTAGAGAATGTAGGCCAAGTTAAATTCTGTGCCTCAGTTTCAATTATGAGGATAAGAGTCTTCTGCAGTTAGAATAAAGGAGTTAATCTATGCAAAACACAACAATACTTGTACCTGGAAAACACGGTATTGCATTGCTATATACTCACCCACTGAATAATGGGATTATAAGCGTCATTTCTTTGCTGCTTTATATTTTTTATGTATTCTACATTTCTCTGATGAATGTGAATATTATAATCAGATAATTATTTTACTGCTGACTTCCAGTTAATTATGGAAGCTATACTCTAGCAATACTAAGGGAGTTAACTCTGAATAAATCAATGTTAACGTTTTAGTGAACTTTATTGTACAGAACAACAACAACAAAAATCCTGATTTTGCAATGATTTTCTCTCCCATGAAAGTGTTGGTGAAAACCAGTAACTTATAAAAATACTTTAGGACTCTAATAAGATAATATGTACATTCACACCTTATCTTGTGAGTATTTAAATGGAGAGAGGTTCACCTGAAAAAAGTTTTCCCCGGGAAACCCATAGTTTTTTGCTTCAACTGACCTATTAAAAAAGCCCACCTGTATCAACTTTCTGCCAATCTGGAAAAGATCTGTTTTCTTTGATCTGATGTCATGTGTTCACAAGCTTCTAAAATGTTTGCCAAAATTAAAGTCTGTTGGATGGTTTTTGCCTTAACCCATATTCTTCCATTCATTCCAAATACTATCTCCAGTGGATAGAGTTTTCCCACTTCCTGTATGATTTCACAATCTGGAGCTAACAGCCTGGTGGGAAGAGAAAAGAAAATGAAATTTAATAAAGTGGCAAAGATGTGTCCGGAGTCTCCTTTACAATGTGATTCCTTCTCTGAGCAGTTCTCCATAGTTGAACAAGAACAAGGCACATGATGACATCTGCTGCCTCCTTTCTTCCAAGAAACTTTAAACTTTTCAAAGGTATACCAGAGATGACAAAGTTGGGCTATCCCCTACAAAGAAATCAAACTCCCTAGGTTACCAACTTTGCAAAAAATATAAATCATTCCTCTAGATTGTCAGAGCACCTTAATTCTAGACTGGGAAGCATAACTTTTTGTTATTTACAGTGCTAAAAGACACTTTACACTTACTTTCCTGATCATGTTATTTTCTTGTGTTAAATTCAGTACTCGGAGAGGAACACTAGCTCTTTCAAACCACAAGGGAGCTGCTTGGTTAATAACATGCTTTTCTGATGTCCAGACTTAATTCTCCAGATCTTTAGGACATGTAGCAAGAAGAGGCATACAAGATAGCTCTGAACTTCACTGGTTATAGGAGTAAAGCCCCTGAATATGGCACAGCTTTGAATGGGTAAAGTTCTATACACCAAAAAGAGAATCTGCCTCAGTGGGAACTACTAAACTTACCAGGACCAAATGGCAGAAGCCTTCTGTGAATGTCTACATAGGCTTGAACATCATAAGCTTGAACATCACAATGTAAGCTGCGTGTGACCCCCATAATTAGAAAAATTTGATAATTTGATAACAACTACAGAGTACATCTGTATTCAATTGACTCAGAAGAGGGAAAAAGCCAGTTTTCACGTTTGGGCTGAGTATAGCAGCTGAGGAACAGGCCTGGGAGGGAAGACATGAATACAGAGTAAGGGCTTAATAGCATGAAGTATTAGCCCACCAGAAACTACACAGCCAAACACATCTAAATTTTATGTTACCTACCTACCTACAAGAAGGTAGGATTAAATTCATGAGTTTCCAAATGTGTTAAAATGGATATTGATTTTTAACCTTGAGGAGGAATTCATATGTCACAAAGAATCTGAATCCTGAAGATTAACCAACTTTTCAACAATGTATAATTATAAAAAAAGGCAGGGAAGCCAGCAGACATCAGGACTTACTTTCTAATTAAGCCCAAAGTCACTTTAAAAAGCAGACCATCCTGTCCAATGACACCCATTCCATTGGCTCGTCCACAGCTGTCAATACAGACCATCTCTGGTTCCATGTCTTTATTAGCAACCACAAATTGGCCATAGATGAGATCTCCAACCTATAATGATATTAAAAACCAGTTCATTTCCTCTCAGCAAACTACTCCACAGGTGCTGGGGTTCCTTCCCACAGCCATCAATGCCAGTCACCTGCAGTTCTGTGGCTAAGGGATTGACTACACTACAGGGTTTCTACAGTCACTCTGGAGTTGAGTCTTGTTAAAAAAGAAACGCATGTATCATTCCCTTTCACCAACCAGGAAATCACAGAGGAGGAGCCATCTCAAGGCCAGAGAACACCTCTAGGGTTGCACTGTCTAATATGGTAGGTAGCTAATTAGTTGAACTCACATTTAATTAAAATTAGATACTTAAAATTAATTTCCTGAGTTGCATTAGCCACATTTCAGGTGCTCAACAGCTAGTGGCTACCATACTAATCAGTGCAGATGGAAAACAGCATCACTGTAGAAAGTTATATTAGGTGACACCACCCTAGAGAATTAGGAAGGAACTCACGGCATGCAAATTAGTCAAAGCAAAACAAAATAATTGACCGACACTTCTCCCTGCGAGATTTACTTAAAAACCTCATGGAGCTAAACTTTAAAGTGAAGAAACAGGAAATGGAGAGTGAACTCATTCTGATTACTCAACAGAACGTACTAAGTACCTACTGTTTGTTGGTGACTATGTAAACTACAGAGGAAGAAAACATTCTCCGCTTTTCAGAAGCATTTGGTCTTGGAGGGCAGTAGGGAGGTACATGTACTAAATCCAGTAAGTGCTAGAGCAAAGATAGGAGAAAAGTGACAACTGGAGAAGGCTTTAGAGAGGTGGTTGTGTTTAGCCTGCGTCTAAAAAGATGACAATGTGTTCCACAGGCTGAGAAGGAATAGTGCAATCGAGAGGGAAATAAGGGCAGGAAATTGAGTTTAGTGGTTTTTGGTGTGATTCATGTAGGGCAGTTTGAAGGATATAAGGGATAAGGAAAGACACCTGGAGTGTAATGCCAAGGAATTCTGTAAATTTTGGACAATTTTGTTTTTTCTTTTCCAGAAAGTGACTGTATGAGGATGTCTGCTCTCAAAACCCTGGACGGTGAGGTCAAAGTGTGGAGGCAAGGATTAATGTGACGGAGTCCAGTCAAGAGGGAGCTAAAACCTGAACTTGCAAAGTGGAGATAAAGGGATGCACATACTAAAGATCAGAGATGGAATCAAATAGGATCAAAATAGGGTTAGGCAACTAAATATGCATGAGAAGTCAATGAGAAGCAGCAACGAAATCACTAAATGTCGGGGCGGGGGGAGACAAGAAGAGTGCGGCTATGCTACCCGAAAAGCCCAAACTGAAAACCCAAGGCAATATCACCACTCGTCTCTCAGCTCCTAGGACCTACAGCCAGGATGGGTGGATAGCTGATAATGTCAAAATGTGCACAACTTGTTCCTCCTCTAAGCCTACGGAAGACCTCCTTGTCCAGAGGATATGGACATAACAAATAATGGAGATGACAGATAAAACCTTTCAACTCAGTAGAAATGAAACATGCCAAGAACAAATGCAGTCAATGTAAAATAAGTATGTGGCTCTGGTCCTGGAGCATCTGAACAAACTCTTGGAGCCCGGGGCAATTACATGCATGCACAGAGATCTAGGTCATGCTTTGGAGACAATTCAGGTAGCCTTCTGGATGTTTGAGTGTTCTAGGGAATGGATGTTTTGCTTGCTTTGAAACCAAAGACCCCCATCATTACCTGCACATTTGGTCTGTTTCTTTTAGTTGCACCTTCAAATGATAAGTAAGACAAAGAAGCTGGCTCACTCCCTCCAACATCAACTTTGAATATATCTCCAGATTTAGCTGTCACTATGCCAATCACATGGTCTCCTTTCACTGGAACATACTACAAAAGGAAACAATGAGAAAACAGCCATAAATAACAAGATGCCATTGGAAGGTACCTTCAGCAAGTCCTTTGTGGTTACCTTATTGTCATTAAAGAGAAAGAAATCTGATCGTTTGCCACTTTCGGTAAAAGAAAATCACATCAAGTGTCGGGTTTGCAGCTTCTGGTAGTCTGTTAATTGAGCCCAAACCCCGTGTTTCTTCAGCACCCCAAACTGTAAGTCCCTAGCTTTGTAGCATAAATCCAGTGGCAAAGGAATCCTTACAACCAAGGAAGCCCATTCCATAGTTATTTTTTTTTCTGTATTAAAGTTCTTACCTGTCCTAGGAGAAATTAACTTCCCTTGACATCCACTCATTGATCCTAGTCCTGCCCTGAGACTCCAAAGGGAAAGCCTGCTGCTCCCTGACCTTTGGGGTTTTGAAGACTGTAATCATGACTAACGGTCTCCAAACGTTTTTCTCTCCTGGTCGCCCTTCTCAGGCTATGTTCCTATTGTTCACGGACCCTCTAAAGGACATGAAAAGTGGACACAAGACTACGGTGGTTCTAGGGGCTCTAGGTTAGCCTGAACAAGGAGAGCTTCAGGGTCCCATCCTTTCTTCTTTTGGGAGGTCTTTTTAAAGCAGGGCTACCGCTCCGGAGTCCCAGCTTACCCGCTTCTGCTGAGAGTCCACCCAGTAAACGCCGCCGCCGCCGCCGCCACCGCCGGGCTCCTTGTGACGGAGGCGGCCGCACTTGGTGACCAGCAGGCGGTCCCCACAGCGCCGCAAGCCCGGGCCACAAATAACGCGCACCCGCGAGCGCGCTCCAGCATTCAGGCTTAACGGTCGCTCTCCTGCACCGCCAGGGCCTTCTGCGTCCTCCTGTTCCGGCAAGAGCAGCTCCTCACCCGGGAGCACCACCTGACCTAGTACTGAGCGCGCACCGCGGGCCCTGCCGCCTGCAAAAGATTCAGCAGCTACAGACACAGCTTCGGCCATTGCGGACGCCCCCAAACACCGTTTCCGGTATTCGCCTTCCGCTTCCGCTCTGCTTCCAACACCCGCCCTAGATGACTTTCCGGTTCCGGCAGCAGCGGTCGGTTGGATTGGACCAGCTTATGAAGCTTCATTGCCGTCAGCTCACAGGTGCCCGTCCAAGGTGGCTGTGATTGTGCCTGTAGCCAGCCATCTATCTTACAGGCGTGAGCCACCGCGCCCGGCCTAACTTTTATGTTTTTTAGGATGATTGAGACAGGTCATCTTTAACACACCCTCCAAATTTGGCAAGCCATTTTCCCCGCTAGGTGTAATAAAAGGCCAACAAATAAAAGGGGCTCCCACTTCCAGGTTAGTTTCCCTGGCAAAAGTGGGAGCTCCTGTGGCAGGGATATAGTATTAATTGTGCTTTTCTCTTCCCCACTCCAGAAGTATTGGGTGACCCCGTCTGCCTCAGTGTTGGCAGGCTCAACGCCACGGCTGAAGAGCGCTCAACGACCTCACATTCGGGCCAGGCAAAGAGGCGGGTGGGGAAATGTTCTCTTGACTGTCCTTCATTCACCCCACGTCGGTAGTGAAGTCTTTGGAAGAAACTCGGATCAGAGCTAGCGGAGGCCGCACGTGGCGAGCGGTGTGGCGCTCTAGCAGGTCAACAGATGAAACAGCTGAAACCGGGATGGAACGTTTTCTCGCGACCCGAGGGCCGGGGCTGGGCCACTCCTGAGCACCGCCCACCCTGACACGCCCAGAGCGGGCGGGGCTCGAGGGACCGTCTGTGCTTCGCCGTCTGTGCTTCGCCGCCTCGGGGTCTTGCGCCTTTGCGAGAGCTAGCTGCCGGTCGGTGCTGGGCGCCGGGAATTGGTCCGCTGGCAGGATGTGTCTGAAACCCGGCTTCAAGCCATCTAGGGCTAGCGGGTTGGTCCTAGGGTCCCATGGGTCACGGTTCACGTTTTCGAGCAGTGCGTGCTTCCTCTCTGGTTATAAAAGTGGGAAAAGTGCAATGCTTAGGGAATGAGGAGGAGGCTTTGCCCTCCGCCGTCGCGTGTGTTTCCCTGCTGATCACGAGGTGGATTACGCCTGGTTCTCTGTCAGGTTTGCGGGTTTGGAGCCAAAGCCGTCGAGGCTGTTCCCCTTTCCAGTGCCTCTGGCCTCCGCCTCCCCATTCGGAGTGTAACCAGGCCCCTTGAGATTTAAGTACTCTGGCATTTTTAGTAACTGAAATATTCAAAAATCTGTTGGGTGTTTTTTTTTTTTTCCTGTTTTGTTTTGGGTTTTTTTGAGGCAAAGTCTCGCTCTGCCACCCAGACTGAAGTGCAGTGGTGCGATCTTGGTTCACTGCAACCTCCGCCTCCCAAGTTCAAGCGACTCTCCTGCCTCAGCCTCCCGAGTAGCTGGAATTACAGGCATGCACCACCACAACTGGCTAATTTTTGTATTTTTAGTGGAGACGGGGTTTCACCATGTTGGCCGGGCTGGTCTCGAACTCCTGACTTCAAATGATCGCCCGCCTTGGCCGCCCAAAGTGCTGGGACTACAGACGTGAGCCACTGCACCTGGCCGTAGTGAAAATTCTGATCAGGCCCTTGCTTGCATGCACATGGTAATATCTCTTGTTCCCACAATATAATTATAAACTGCTGATGTCCTGTTTCTTTGTCTAGCAAGAGAGAGAACTTCAGGGTCATGAAAAGATTTTGCAGAAACAATGAATGTCAGTCACTAAGGACTTTTTGACCAGCTGCTGATGCCCATAAGTCTGGTTGCTCAAAGTTTTATCTGAGACTGTAGAGGCAAAGACTTTCCTCTTCTATTCCCGGAAGCTCTTCCTCCCTTACACCCTAGCCCCATAGAAACGTGTGCAGTCATCTCTTTGTTAAGCCACATTTGAAAGATCTTGCTCTTCCACCTTCTTGCTTTGGCCCAATTGAACAAACCTTTCTCTATCTCCAGGCACCTGTGTCTTAGCATTTGGCTTCAGCTCCGCGTCAGGCACATGAGCCTGAATTTGGGGTTACACAACATTAGTATGACTCTTGGGGAAAGTGCCAAATTTACCTTTAGAAAGGTTGGACCAGACTGCAGCTTTCTGGACTCCTCCCAGAACTTCCTCTTTATAACTAATCTTTGCTAGTTTAGAAGTTGGAAAGGTGGGATCTCATAGTGCTTTTCGTTTACGGGCTGGTGAGGTTGGGCATTTTTTCCTTTAAACACCACCACTAGTTGAGCATTTGCTTTCAGCCAGGAATTGAGCTGGGGAGGCAGTTGAGTCCTAGTCCCTGCCCTTGGGGGAGTTCACTTTCTCCACTTGAAGATACCAAGTGTTATGGTGGCTGCAACAACCGGAATAGAGTGTCAGCCCTGAGGGTACAGAGGATGAAAGTTATCTCTACATGGAAGGAAGACAAGGGTCAGGACAGGTGTTACAAAGGAAGTGATAATTTGAGTGAACTTTTAATATTTTTTAGTTTACTAGTTCCTAAAATTATAAATGAACTACATGCTAATTTACATACTGAAATTAACCATAAAAATCCATGAGGGTATTGTTAACATCTTTATTCAAATACAGGATTTAATCTAAAAACATAAATGCCCACAAATATCATGGCACAAATGAGAGACAACTTGCTACAGATGTTTTTACATAAGGATCATAACTTCTCAAACAGAATTTATTGTAAAAAGTAAAAGAACACACTTTTTTTTTTTTTTTTTTTTGGAGATGGAGTCTTGATCTGTTGTCCAGGCTGGAGTGCAGTGGTGCAATCTCAGCTCACTGCAACCTGCGCCTCCTGTGTTCAAGTGATTCTCCTGCCTCAGTCTCCCAAGTAGTTGGGACTACAGGCACGCACCACCACGCCTGGCTAATTTTTGTATTTTTAGGAGAGACAGGGTTTCAGTATGTTGGCCAGGCTGGTCTCAAACTCCTGACCTCAGGTGACCTGCCCACCTTGGCCTCCCAAAGTGCTGGGATTACAGGTGTCAGCTGCCATGCCCGACCCAGAACATACTTTTTTTTTTTTATCAACTACTGTTTTAAATGTGTTAGCAATTCCATAAAATATAGTTTCCTCACCATCATTCCCCAAATCTGAACTACATTCTGTTGGCCAGATTCCTATGTGGAATGACATTCAAGTTTGGTCTCGGTGTATCACAATACAGAACCAATTTTAAATACTCAAAATTACATGGTTTTCTGGTTTCCGACAGCTTTGCCATTTATCTACATTTCTCAAATAAGGAAACATCTTTCATGTTTATTCTCATTTTGTAGTGTGTGTGTGCCTGTGTCATGGCACCTTTTGTTAGAAAAGAGCCCAAAGGAGATGACTAAGCAAGAAAGGAGGTTCACCTGCCACAACTCCATTGGTACCAATGTAGATGAGATTTGGTGGATCAGATGAAGAAATTTGTTTTTCAGCACAGCATACAGTAGGAGTATCAGCATGGTAGCACTGGTTGGCCTCTCCCCTAGTCCTATGGAGTAAATGCAATGGGCCCAGACAGTGGCTGCACATGCAGCGGTTTGCACCACGACTGAGGGATCCAGGGCCAAGGCCTAGCATCTTTTGTGGCAAGTAGCAAACAAACTAGCCTCCTTCCCTAAGGGAGTGAGCTGTTGCATGGTAGTTATGCTGTGGTCATCTTAACCTATTTAAATACCAATGTGACTAGCTAGAAATGGTGCAGTATTAGGGAAAAGTTGGGCCTTGTGTTGGCACAGTTAGCAAGCATGTGCAGAGATGCTCAAGGCCACGGCAGACTGCCTTTCCCAGTCGAACTCAAGGCCTGTCATCATCTGACTCTAGCTTATCACTGCAGTGTCATCTTACTCAATTTTTTTTAGTGCTCTAAGTTTTTATCATTCTGGACTATTCACCAAGGCCACTTTTGCTGTTGTATTCTTATAACTACTGATTCTCTCTTATCTCCTGCCACACAGCAAGATTCCTGAGCAGACAGTAACTGCTAAAGAAATATGAGAAGGATAAAAGTACCTGAAGTTGTGACAACTACATAAGAAAACTGTAGTCGTGATGCTACTAAGGGACTGTATTCATATTGAATGCCTTCTGTATACAAGGTTGAGGCATAGATGCATCCATAGAAAAGCTTAAGATACCTTTATCAGTCAGGGTCTAATCAGGAGACAAACCACACTCATTTGAATAGGGAAAGTTTAATATATAAAGAATTATTAGCTATAACAGGGTGTTGGAATAATGAAGCAGTGGCTAATAAGAACTAGAGAGCTGGCTGGGTGTGGGGGCTCAAGCCTGTAATCCCAGCACTTTGGGAGGTGAGGTGGGCGGATCACGAAGTCAGGAGTTCGAGACCAGCCTGGTTAACATGGCGAAACCCTGTCTCTACTAAAAATACAAAAATTAGCCAGGTGTGGTGGCCTGTGCCTGTAGTCCAAGCTACTCAGGAGGCTGAGATAGAAGAACCAGGAGGTAGAGGTTGCAGTGAGCCAAGATCGTGCCACTGCATTCCAGCCTGGGTGACAGCGAGACTCCCTCCATCTCAATCACCACCACCAACAAAATAACTTGAGAGCTTTAAAGAGAATAGCAATAGCAGATATAAGAAACAGCTGCTACCCTAATGCTGCGATAGAGTTCCCAGGGAGAAGCCTCTCCCCTCCAGCCAGGGCTGATTGAAACCCTTTTGAAGAGAGTATGGCTATGGCTCATTAAATGGCAAGAAGTCATTGGGAATCTGCCAGTGAAACTTGCCATAAATCTACCCTTTAAAATTTTCTGACACTTCTAGGGTCTTGAGGAAACATATTAATGGGGAGGGGTCTCCTGGAAGCCTCTGCTATAAAACTGCCCAATAGGGTGCTAAGGAATACTGCTGGCTGCTGAGTGTTTCTGGCCACCAATCACAGCATGAACAGATGTGGAGAAGCTGCTGTGCTGCAGAAGTGTGCCAGTGAGCACAATGGGACCAGCAAGCAAAACCCATTCCTCCTGAAATGCCTCTTCAGGGCCTTTTACCTGTAAAGCATATCGTCACGATAGAGAACAAAGGAAAAAACATTTAAG